TTTCTGTATGCCTTGTGATCAATATTCATCTCTCCTCATATTAAGCCGAAAATTATAATCTCCTCAAAATCACACATTTGTTACACTGATGAATTCAATAACAATAATTATTATTACAACTATCTTGATTTATGTATATAAATTCCGATTGTGCAGCTATTGAAAGTGAAATCACCATAGACACATCGTCGCTGTACTTTTTGCTTCCTTTATAATGTAACTGACTGACTGACTGATTGACTGACTGACAAACAACTTTGCACAGATGTGCAGCGGTCTGAGTTGTGATACTACATGTCACACGCAAAGTTACACAAACGACAGTAAAAAGAGATTTAAAGGGACTACCATAGGCAGAAAATTGAAGGAGAAAGAATAGCAATGGTGGAAAACATGGCAGCTTAATGGATATGGGAGATCACAAACAGTAAGTACGTATGCATCATTCAGAACGGCTTTCAGCCATATCAACAATTTCCTCTAACCATTACTTCTTAGAATCTCGAGGATCTCAACTAGATGCCTACACCTCCCTACATGGCTCAAACTAACTATCAAAGATTTCTTTGTTGCATATAATTACGATTGTACAGCTCATGAAAATGAATCATCGAAAAGAGAATTTTCTTCGATGTTTACGCCTTTTTCTTATCAAAGATTTAATGGACACAATTTATTGTTCATAATCATATGAATTATAGCAAGACAACTTCGAAACTTTCGTTTAATATTTTCTGCATTCCTTCCTATTCGTAGTAGGTGTAGTAGAATTTTCCAGATGTCGGCTACACGTTGGATCATTTCTATTGCACGTATATTCAGTTGACTCGAGAAGTAAAGCTTCGGCTATCAATCTCTTTCCACCCTCTAATATTAGATTTCAAAACCGTCATCTACTACCACTATGACGAATGGAAAGGAATTCAGAAAGCCCAAAAACAAAGTATTATACAATTAGTGATCGTCTGGTGCTTAGGTAGTAGAGTGATCCACTGTGCATACACTGAACTCTATTTTCTTATGTAGTCTCTAACCAAAGTATTACATGGTACATTTATCTGATAAATAGGTCATAATAAATATACATATGTATATACACTTGATATAAGTACATTATATAACTAACAGACTGAATTTCTACATGGAAGTATGAACAGAAGCGCACCAGTTGAAGTCGCCACATTCCATATAGCACAAAAACGTGTACTTTAATTTCGTAGCATTATAATATACAATACTAATAAATTACGAACTGACGACATCTTCCTATGGCGAGTAAATGCATTGCTATTTCTCCTCATCACCTGTATTACTTCACAGCCTACTGGTATTTTCCAAGGCATTCTTGAGTAATCTGAGCTCAAATTAGGCACAGATTACCCTTAATTCAGGATTAGTCAAGATACTACCGGCATTTTGCAAGTCGCTTTCTCACACCCCAAGCATTAATCCAGTATCTAGCGCAATTTTTCAGCAACAAACACATTAGTTCAGAATATGGTGTCATTACTGTGCACTTCGGGAGGCAGTTCAGCACACGAAAAGTCCATTTAGAACTGAAGCACGTAACGAAGACATAGCTCACAGAGAGTTTAGCAACGTAAAGTGATTGCAATTGGTAGGAATAGGGAGAAAGGAAGAATACAAAGAAAACAGAGCTAGACTTCGTCGGCGATCTGTGCACTGGGGCCGGTGCAACTTCCCAAACAAGTGGAGTGGTCAACACACTATTTGCACGTAAAATTGATGTAACTACCTCAATATGATTGCGTATAATAAACTATAATCTGAACATGTCTCATTACAGAGTACTGTTTGCAGGTGAAACGATGAAATATGTTGTTGCCTTATAACTTTGTATAGTATGAATATCATGCCTCTCCCTAACAAAATAATATCATAATCACGTCCGAAAGTGGCTAAAAGAATTAAGTATAATATGCTCGAGACTGTTAATTCATTCCCAGGTTTAGTAAATGTAAGTGAAATACTGGGGAAATGGTCAGTAGTGATTTCATTCAAGCCACTGCAGTTCGTGAGAAACTAGACGGCTTTTGATACAACTGATTCTTCATTTTATCCGAAATGAAGCTTTTGAGTTGTAAGTGTAGATTCAGGAAATATTCTTACGGGTAACTCAGTCGTTCATTCTTCTAACACATCTGTTCAGATTGACGGCACACATATCACTATCTACTGGGATCCATACTAATTGGTCATTTTGTGCGCTAACGCTCAATGCAATCCCCCAACCTTCGGCTCCTCAGGAACTAGTCAAAGAATCTTCTGACATCATTAAGGTGAATTTTGAAGGTTCACTGTGCTGGCCATTTGGTTTCAATTAAATAACCACACTAAAGTCTTCTATACTTCTCCAGATCACAACATGCATCCATTGTTCGAGGTGCCACAGTTATGGCTGGTGAAGCCTGCTGTCCATTTTGGCAAAGGGTCCTGATGTCAAGTGCTCTAATATGAAATCAGAGTGGCTTTAAAAGACTATAGGTAGTGTTTATTCTGTATTAGTCGCTATTATTAGTCACAGAGTGAAAAGATGGTAGACCTGCCTGTGGAATAGTATTAGCAAAAGGAGGAAAGCAAGATGAACGGAACGTAGACAGCGGGGATACATGAGAAGGAGGACTTCGCGCAATTCTGGAAGTGTGTGGGCGGTTGTTACTTCCAGCCCCTCCACACTGGAGAAGTTAATTTTTCTTGGGTTACTTCATTTAGAAATAAAATTGGCTTTTATTGAACGCAAAGCCCAGGGGAAAACTGCTTCAAGCCAGTCACACATGGCCTATTTGAATTTGTTTTTGGTGTCCTGTCCATATTAGGAACTTATCCCCTGCTAAGGACCACCCGTAGAGTAAGTCAAGAATGCATAATCTTTGGGGTCCATATTTTCTAGGCCTCCCACTTCAGGATGAAGAGGTAGCATAGCTGGCGTCTGACTAACTGACGGAAGCACCATACTGCTGTTACGTCACTGTCATCCAGGATTTCGAATTTTCCCCCAGCATACTGTAAACATCTTACACTATACTTGTAACTGCTCTTAGTGTACTCCTTATCCTTACAACGTTTTTGGCATAGTATGACCGCTAGGAACACAAGTTCCATCCAGTGTAGCTCGTTGGGCGCTTGCGATAGACAAGCCTAGCCACTACGTGAAGGAAGCAGCTATCAGTTTGGTCACACGATGATAACAAAATGGCACCCAGATTTCCCATTAAGCACTAATGTTTGCAGCTATTTAGATTTTTGATGCATCTTTATCCTACTAAATTACTTGATTAACTGATTGTACTTCTACCTCAAACAATTAGTGAGAAATATTACTGCCTAAAATCCGTATATATTTTTCTTTCAAATTTAATAAAATAATTCGGTCTAAGCATGTGAAACTTTAGAATAACAAAGCCTTGAGTGATTCGCCTGTTGTTAGACAAAATACGTTATTAAGTAGTACTGGTGAATTATCTTTCACATAAAACTTTTAATCCAACTACACTTGGTGTGAAGATGACTCTCTCGCAGCATCGATGATTGGCTGACAGAATCACGCTAATCACTATCAGACAGGACACACCTTAGTCCTAAAAATCTCACCACCATCTAAACGCAAACTTCATTTAAGACACTAACTGCATGACTTAAACTACATCATGTTCCAAATACACAGTTTATCAGTTGACCGTCAGCCTCCGTAAGCATAGAATATCCATTGAGTCGTTTAACTGAAAAGTACTGTTTCAAGATTGGCAGGAGCATGTACCCACACTGACACTCTCAGGTCAAGCACTAGAAGTAGTCAATAAGTTTCTGTATCTAGGTTGTTGTGTGAGTAGTGCTACAGGAAATATGACGGATGAGACCTCCAGCAGTACACTGACAGTCACGGGGTTACATGGCAATCTGGATTACCTCTGGCTCCAACATGACGTCAGCCTTGTTGTCAAAGGTCACATTTACAATGCTTCAGTGAGCATGTTTTTCCTCCACACCCTTGAAAGCTGCCCCCTCTGTGGTGAGATGTGGCCACTGTGAGTATTTGACCAACACCACCTCCGTATCAATACTTTCATCCCGTGGCATCATCGTGTAAGTGATTGTGAGATCCGACAGTGTTTGTTTGAACACAGTGGAGACCGTAATTCATTCAACGTTTTCATTCTGGAACACCTATTTCAGTAGCTTGAATATAAGCAAAGAATGACATTGTAGAGGTTCCAATAGCGTTCATTGTTTGGAGATCCTCCCGCTTGGTGGAGAAAGTGGAGGCAATGAACAGGTCTTGCCGTGTCCTCGCTGGGTGAAGGATATTTGTGTCAGGTTAACACATGTTGGTGCATCTCGAATCTATGGAATCACCCTGAGAGGTATTTTAGATCAATGCGTCAAGAAGTTATCAAATATAACCGAGAATCGTAATCGGTGGTGAACATACTGACATTTCTTCCGTTTCCGCAAAAAAGTGAAGTGGAGAATCAACCTTAATCATGTCCGAAAGTAGCTAAAAGAATTAAGCATAACGTGCTCGAGACTGTTAATTCCTTCCGAGGTTTAGTGAATGCAAGTGAAATAATGGGGAAATGGTCACTGGTGATTGCATTCAGACCAGTGCTTCATAGTGTTATGGGTCACTCCGTCGGTTAACCTTTGAAACTCCGAGTACGGAATTGTAACGCACTGAAGGATAGTAACTAGGATCTACTCTTTATATCGGAACATTACATAAAATTTATATAGTAGCACTGTATGTTGATCTGGTTGTCTTTGGTTACCGATTGTAGAGTAGCATGAATAACAGATACTATTACAAGCGGTTAACATCTATGATCCAAACAACTGACTTGCTTGTTACTTCAAACTCTAAGTGAGAAGCCAAATATGACCTATTATGAAACCTCCTTCTTAAAACTAAGCGACATCGCATTGGATTACAAAACATCAAAATAGACCGTGGAGCATCTGAATACATAAAAGAAATCAAAACATAGGAATAAATCAGTTTTTATTTATACAATAAGAACAGCATTTACACAACCTTCATTTTCAGGATTATTTGTTACTTGAGCATATTTACCCCATACAACTTTGCCACCTGGTGTAACTAAACCCAAATCACTGACATTCACCTGTATTGCAAAAAGAAATAGTTACAAAAATCATATTTAACGACATTTAATAGCAACAGCACTTCGAGAATGTAGTTATGTCTTATGTATGTTACTCTAAAAATACCAGTTAGCACTAACGCTGTGTACCTTTTGTTGACACAATTTTTACAACCGTTAAGTCCCCTTTTTGCTGTACGATGACAGCTGGTATCAATAAAAAACGAGTACCCTGAGATGCGGTTGACTGACGTAGGCACTCAACTTTTATTCAATAAATTCTAGGTTTAAATCCTGTTCTACATACTTTAGCCAGACCAAATGAGTGGCACCATCAGTCCTCCTACAATGGATGTGGCTAATATTGTGGTACATGAAAAATCCGTTCCAGATGACTGGGTTCGAACTAACTAACTACCTAATTCTAAAAAACAATTACAAGAAACTAGAAAGCCTAGTGTAGTCACTTAGGGAGATAGCATTTCGTTATGACTGTCAATTCGGTCCTATAGAGGCTTGACTATTAAGCAGTTATTGTCAGGAAGGTGAGGGCATTGTCAGACACTTACTGAGATACTAGTTTATAGAAAATACGTGACATATAAAATTCGTAAGGTGGGATATACTTCAGTTTATTTTTCTAGCTCATTACTAGTGTCAGATGAAAATAACTGACTTGTAGTTAGCACCTTGGGTTCAAAGATTTTCTGTGTAGTAAATGATAACTCCAGATTTCAGCAGAAAGAGAAATACTGACAAGACTATAGTTGTGTCTTAATCGTGAATTAAACGCAAAGTAATTTTAATCATCAGCCAAATTCAGGGAACATGAAAAGATGATTCAGTATAAAATGATACGGTAGACTAGACAAATTCAAATATATCAGACAAACAAACCTCAATGACTGTGCCTTTGGTTATAACGCCAAGTGTAGTATACATAGGAGAACTTGGGTTTTTCTTGACACCTATTATTGGTAGTTGAAAGGTGGTTTTCAGTTCGGGATGAGTAACATTAGCCTTCTTCACACGTAAACCCATTGGACGGATAAAACGTTCGAACTTCGGAGGTTTTCTTGTGAATGTATCTCCCACAAAGCACATTTTTGTAACTAGACGTTTCCAAGCTTTACGTTTTGACTTTCCAGTTCGTACAACTTTAAATGCCTCGGCTTCAGACACAGTTCTGACCTTTGGTAGTGGGACCTCCCATTTTCCCTGATAGTAGTAAACAGAGGAATCATGAGAAATACATCAGATACAATAAAATCTGTTGAAGTTAGCACACAATGCACTGTTTTTTTCGAAATATCATAAACAGTACATGTCTGCGATTGAGTTCTCTAAGAATACTCAGTAAGTTTTTCCCAACATGCGTTGTTAAGATCACTGTTTTATTATATAACTGGAATCATCAAATATTTACCTCGAGGAAAAAGCATTCTCCGTTCGTTCCATGACGGATATGACTCCTTGATGTAAACGGCACGACAACTTTATCCACTTATGAGTCATGCGCGGAAAGCCAACTCCTAATTGGTAAGCTTAAAAAAGTCAACTTTTGGCACGAGATATCGACTAAATCTAGGATGGATATTATGATTTCTTTACCGGTGAAATATTTCAGAAAACAAGTGTATGAATTTATGTTGTACGATTTATTGTACGAATCGATGTGAAAAATATCTTCGGAACAACAAGCTGCTGTGCAAAAGTTCAATACACAGATATATAACGGGAACACAGCGAGAATTATTTACCTAAAACTGACATTTATCAAATGAATAAATTCACATGGTGATGTATTGGGGACAAAAATTCACTTTTTTATCGAGAATATGTTGAGGACAAGTAGAAACTCTGGAGTGGAAAATTTGTACTATTTGAAATAACTAGTAGTATAGGAACAATTAAAAAATAGCAAAACCAACAGCACGTGGTCTGATCCTTCGAAGAGATAACGGGAACTAATGAAATCTTTCTAAAAAACCAGCTGTTCACGTTGGGTCGAAAAAACGTTTGTCCGATTCGCTTAAAGCCTAACCTTCCTCGTGTATGAAGAGCGTTGAGGATACTACATCTTTACTACTATGCGCTTCGAAATCACCACAACTCAGAAGCCTACAAAATATTTTTACTCCACACTGCGCTGCCCAAATGATGCAATGACAGTAGAGAAGCTGAATATAATTTACACAATAAACTGTAGTAACTGCAACAAACAGCAGGTAGTTGGTCTCCGCATTAGAAAACACCAGTCTTTATATGACTGTGACTAGGTATCTTTTTAGATTAAGTGAATGTCTATGGACAGGATTATGACTTTCAAGATGTGGAATTCGGAAGCACAGAAGGAAGGAAGATCAATAAGCCAATCTGCGGCCAACTGACAAAGACCTAAATTCAACCTAATGTTTGATGAAGAATACGAAATAGAAATGACTGAGCGATTGACTGAGTTTCGACATAGAACTTTGCATAAAAGTGTAGCAGTTCTAGTTGTAACACTCCACGTAGCACACAAAGGCAGAAAAATGGAAAATAAAAGGGATTCAAAAGGACTACAATGAGAGGAACACTGGGGGGAAAGGAATAATAATATGGAAAAACAGTAGGGCCTAATGGATATGGAAGATCACAAAGAGTGAATACGTCTGCACCGTTGAAAACGATTTTCAGCCATATTCTCATTAATCTTCAGCCATCCGTTCTAAGCATCCCGAAGACCCCAAATAGGGGACCTGTACTGAAGACCGTGTCAGTAAGGTAAGCAAGCAGAAAATGCGAACAGATACAAAGGATGCAACAAATGAAACAAAAATAACACAGTAAAAGCCTTACAAATGGCGAATAAATAAACATATCACTAGTCAGAAATCAAAGGGTAGTAAAGTTTGTATAGAAGGCGCTATACAACAGAAACTGAACTTTGCACAAGCATGCAGTGGCTAAATTTGCCACACTTCATGAAGTCTCCATCATGATAGACAGAAAATCCAAAAAAATCGTTATGAACGAAGTCTACAAGACAAAACACTTTGTCTATTCGACTATCTGACTTTCATCATGGAGCCAGCGAAGGCAATCAGTGATGTAAGCCCTCTGCGAGTTGTTAATCCTTTTGGTGACGCACCGAGTTTCTGAGCCATATTAAAGAGTTGACTTGACAACACTGTTAAAAATTCGAACACTTCAGCGTGTGGAAATCTGTAGGTTTCTGCATTTTTTAGTTAGGGACACTGACAATAAGTAGTTTGGTGCTGGTGGTGTTGAGGAAGAAATGCCTCGATGTAAAAACAATCCGAGCGGTTCAGACAGGTTACGAATAGCGGCCCGAGAGCCTCGCTGTTCTTTGTTTTTTAGCTTTATGATCAATCAGAATAGCCATAAAGGTCATCAACGCCATGAGGTGACGTATGAAGGGAAATTGTGTTGGGTTAAGATCTCTAGATGCATCACAACTCTATTAATTATATTCAAGAGATCATGTAACACATAAGCTAAGATAGGCAAAAGAATGAAAATTGATAGTCAACATCCTACAACATTCTTGTTTCTTACCCAAGGTAATATGAGGCAATGAACACTTTTTTGAACACGCTTTATAATTCAGTATGTCATCTACTGAAGCTAACAGCAAGTCACTTTTCCTATTTTAGAAGCTCCTAACTTACTGTTTCTTGCTGCTTGAATCGAATGTAAGAAACTGCGAGATACCCAGCTCGTTGTTATGAATCCCTACTTACTTGAATGGAAAAGTTTTTTGAATGGATGAATGGAAGATATGCAGAAGATCTAGTTCAACCAGTTAGAACTAGTTTACTCAGTACCCACAGCACGTAGCTACATCATTTTCAAGTGACTGATCAAGTATTCTACTTCAACATAGAATACTGCATATTACATCATGAAGTGAAAATTCTCTGAGATTCTCTGACGAACAAGTCTAGGATGTAAATTTGACAGATTAGGATTGATGTACAAAAATTCTAACTGACTCGGCTATTTTATCTAAAACTTTTTCTACGCGGAGGTTCCGCTTAGAACAAGAAGCTCTGAGAAAGTCATAATGACTCAATAATTGTAATCTTTTCAGATATTTCTTTAACAGCCTCACTTCAAACGGATCTTGAAGAACTTTCCTACGCTGCTTGCGATGTAATTCAGAAAGTCCACTGCACTTGTGAAAAGATTTTATTGATCATAAACCGACTAGAAACAGTGCAATTTCTCAGTAAGATGTAGTAATCAACGCGCATAATCACTTGTCAAACTCAATATGAATGTAGGTTAATTTGATAGAAAAGAATCGCATACGATAACTCTCAACTGGTCTGCTGTGTTTGGAAGACTTTATTTTCTCAGCATCCTAGGTCAACAGTGAGAATCCTAAGACTACATCCTGTTTGATCGACTACACAGGATTATCAGGCATTTCAGAATATGTGGTTCATTATCTTGTAAATGAAAAATCTATATAAGTAAATGTTGACATGTATCAGTCAGTCAGGTAAAAAAGACGAAGCAGATTGATATTAACCAGAAGCTTTATTTAATTCATTTGTCCTAAAACGGCTCAAATATAAATTAAAATGCAACGTCCAAAAGGTGTTTATATTCAGTATGAGCGAATTACCATGTACTACTTTGGTTAAAGACTAAATAGGAAAATACAGTTCAACAGATACACCGTGGATCACTACACTTCCTAAGCACCAGACGGTCATTAACAGAATAGCACTTCGCATCTTGTCTCAAGCTCACATATATTTTCACGATAAGGAAATTCCTAATAAGACGCAAAGTTGTTCACTTCAGTTTTTCTTAGATACCCTAAAACGTTTCCTACAATTCTACAGAACTGTAGGAAATTTTTATCGATGCACTGCCACATTTTCAAAATAGTTTCATACATAGCAGTGCTCAAAAGTTTTAAATCATTTGTTTTAGGATAGATAAGACAATTAATTTGGTCCAAGCCTTATAGAATCTTACACAATATCTCACTATTTTAAACGCTTACACATCTAAGCAAACAATGAATGAAAGTACCAAGAAGGAAATAATGCATCTTTTATGTGAAGCGATAATGAATCGAAAGATGGATGGCTTCGATATTCAGGGTTTGATATTTGATGAGTTGTGGGGTTTCGAAGTGGCCCTATATATAGTGCTGTTAATCAGATGTTCGGAGTTCACTTCTGATTGTTTCAAAATCAAATCGAGTTTTGTGGTGCCTGGCAATAACCCCAGGACGGTAAAGTTTTCTATATATTTTGTTTGAAGCTGACCGATTCATTGGAGCCTTTAATTTCACCTATAGTCAATTAATTTGATTTTAGGTTGCTATTAGTTGCTATTTAACAATATCTTATTGAGGTTTCGCATTTCTTCTACAAGCTTCTTCACTATTGTGAATACCGTCCTCTTCAGCTGGGTCAAAGATTGCCCATAATCTCTCATCTACTCCTCCAATTTACACGATTTCCTCTATGTCACTCTCGCACCCACGACCCACTTGTCGCCTCCCACTACACAAATCTCCCATTTTCGGAAAAAAACGATTGCAGAATAAGCTGCAAATTGTCAAACAAGTTCTAACCAACACAAGAAAATGCATATTCAGCTTAAGTTGCCTGATATTATCATGAATCACATTTCTGCACGACCAAATATTCTGATTGTTCACAGAGGACTTAAACTTACGTCGATACTTCTCATAAATATATGGGGCATGTATTCTAAATCAGGAATTACTTCCAGGAGTATCTAGTTAAATTTTCAAACATTAATACTCAACATACAGCTTTATACAGGCGTAGACTTATTGCTTAAAAAGTAAACCAAAAAAGCTAATTAGCAAGTATGTCCCTTTACGCTCAATGTAAAACAACATATATACAAATTATTGAGTTAGTCAATAAGTGGGGGCAAATCTTACCGCCTTTTCAGCTCGCTTTTGTTTGACGGTGTTAGACAAAACTTTGGCGGATATCTGCTCACCACGATCCAACAGATAGGCCGGAACCTCTCCTGACCGCCCGGCTTCATCGACCTTTTGATTCTTCCCCTTCATCTCATGCATACGTAGACTGAGAAGATATATACACGATACTCAGAAACTCACGTCTTCTTCATCTGAACTTTCTCCTTAAATCTTTCTCGATTTGCTATTTTCGCTTTCAATCCTCGAAGTTTCTTAGCTTGGCGGCTTCTTTCATGTGGCTCACGAGCTTCTTTCTTCCGCCTGAGATTTTTTGTCTAGTAAATTTTATTAACTTACTTTCTTTCAAAGTAATCAAAGCGATAGCCATGGCGTTTCCGGTGGAGTTCAATATGCTCGTTTTGAGGCTACAACACAAATAAGTAACATAAAAGCAACAGACCATGTGTAGTCTTTTACACCGTGGTGCAGGACCTTGAGACGACCTTGAGTTAAGTTGTCCAATATATACTAGTTTAACTTTTTCCTTTTCAATGTATTTAGTGTTTTGTTACGCCGTATATCTAACCACTCCGTTTTATTGAAGTTTAGAAATTACATTTGACTAAAGATTTGCAGATTTAAGCCTGGAAAGATTCCCTCAGTTCCCTGTACAGTAAAAGTTCATTCTAGCTTTTGAATGACTTAATAAAGGATGTTGAAATTATGTTTTTTGGTAGAGGACTCCACTGGTTCGTGACTCAACGCACGGATCTAACTTCCAGAAGTAGATGATACTACCACTGCCTTTTTAAATTCCAGATGTGGTACTCCCCAGTTCTCTCTTCTCTATGGAGGAAATAATCAGGATAAATGAAAACGTAATTCACTACGTGAAATGGATAATGTTAATATGGGATCAACTTCCCGCATGACAGTGTGAATAAATTTAGTCAGTCCAGCTTCTCATATTATAGGGTTGTGAATATCTTGAATAATTAAATCCCCACTTTTAACCATATCTAATATCCCTGCATCACATTTGAAAAATCGCATCACTGTCCCTCAATTTCCTCATTAAATCCGATTTAGGTCAGGTATAATAAACGAAACATATAACCTTCGAAGCCTTCAAGAGCCTGTAATTTTCTGAACCATTCAGTCGCTGCCGCCCAGTTAGCTGGCGTTTTCAGACCATGGTTTACAAAAAAAGTTCAGTCCCCATACCCGGTAACCGCGGTTTGATTAAAACCATTTACAACAACACTGACTAGCATCAATCCCAAGAGACCAATAGACCGAGATCTTCTGGCAGACAAGTATATCACAGTTGTTTTCTAAAAAGCCCCTAGGTTTAATATCATTGACCAAGTCTAATCCAGATGATTTAATTCTCGGTAGCGTCCTATTTACACATAATAGGAGGAGGAGAGGGCCTAAAGGCACCCCACCACTTAATGGTCGCTATGACGATAAAATACTATCAATCGACACACTCCGTCTTCTGCTGGCACAACAGTCTTTAATTCAGTTTCTCTACTCAGTCCCAAACTGCTATCTATTACAGAAGGGACGAGTGCAGAACCTGATTGATAACACTCTTACTGTCCACGAACACATCATCCACCTGTTCGCTAACATTAGCTGCATTCGTCCGACGTCCCTGTGCCAAAGAGGGTTGAATGGCGGGTAACGACCCACTCAAAAACCATGTTTCTCCGTGTGAATTTTGGCAAAACACTTAACTGCCTGACTTATACATGTCACACAACTCACACCTTACAGTTGATCTGATTTTAGCAGGATCTTATTTCGGGATCCCCTTGAAAAGAAGCTGTTTTCAGCAGAAAGTTACCATATCTAGATTTTTCGTGGAATATATTGGTTTATTTGTGTACTATCGACAGTATGTCTTCTTTGATCCGGAGCCCTGCTACAAATTTCCGAATATGTGGACAAGAAAAATTTTAATTCCACGTAAAACATCTAAAACATAGTCAGGGTCCATAGTCTTACATTCATATCTTATTCATCACCGTTCTTCATCCTCTTGCACCCATAACTTTTTCCGGAAAACTTGGAACATTTTGCCTCTATGGTTGTTAAGTTCACCAATAGTTTACACAGGTTTGGAAGGCTTAGGTATGGTACTCGCCATCCATCTAACACCATGAGTTCTGCTGATGATATTACACTTCCATCAGCAGCTACATCTCAATTTGCTGTACGTGACATCGTATGGGATCAAAGGAGTTTATCAGTCCAATTTAATCTCAGCCCATTCGCCTTCAACGGTCAAAATGTCTACCTGTGCTGACTGGATCAGACTGTGGACGATCGGCTTTTCAGCGAATAAGAGCATGTCTTCGATGTGACATGACTGTGTATCTCCATGCTCGCATTATTCCCTCCGTAATAAACACATTATTGGACAGCAGTAGTTGTTATATTCTCCCTGCACTAGCTACGGCAGTGTTAGGGGCAGCCTGGCCTCGAGGTCAGGTGTAGCAAGAAAGATGACCACACAGCAATCGTCAGTGATGTTTCTAGTTGAAGCCAACTGGAAATAACCTGGAAGTCGCCCAAATAGCGTAACTAGCTGCCTTAACATAACATGAATGCAGATTTGATAGAGGACTTGGCTTACGCTAAAAATGCTATTCAGAACACCACGTCCTTGCTCATTGTACTGGCGTATAACTTACTTGACTGAGAGGCGGCCACCAAGCCTTACGTTAAGGTCGACATGCTAGTGGCGTGCCGAATACAGGCTGTCGGGCTTTATGCCCATAAAAGAAATTTACAAGACGCACTAGTCGAGTACTGTTCCGTCTTAGGTCGCTGGCGATGCAGGAAATTTTCTGTAGTTTGTTGAGACAACACTCTTCAAACACATTACGACTGTATCTTACCTAACCCGATATCAAAAATATCGTTGTACGGTGAAATTTTTAATTTTAATTTTTTTAATTTTAGTATAGCTTGACTCCACACCGTGTTTTTGACGGAAGCATGAAATTTTCAGCATGTGATATCGGTAGCCCAAATTTTGCAGGCCGACCATTGATATCGGTTGTGCGTCGGCCGTGAATCGAACTCCAGACCATGTGCATGGTCGGCGGGAGTCCTAACCGCTGTGCCACCAACGCACCACTTGGTGACTATACAAATAAAGCAGCCACTGACAATGCATCATGCATTACATAAGCAAAGAACATATCTTATGACTAGATATATCGAATATATTCCCTGAGACAGCCCAGTTATGGATGCTGAATCAATGGACGTACACTGAACAAGGCGCTGAGAAACCTCCATTTTATATTGATCCAAGTACAGAGCTGCTGGAAACGATCATACAAAGTCCAGGACTTACTTCATCCATGTACTCTCACTCTTTTTGGCAGCCCCACGTGCTCATCTCTTGGCTGCATTCCTAAGAAACGCTAATTCCATGCGGGCACTGAAACCTCACACACCGGGTGAGGAGACCATCCCTTCACAAAATTTATCATGGTATCGTACTCACCCGGAATAGTTACGTAGACTTCATTCTTAACCCAGTGAATTCTCATTAGATACCTATTTAGGTTACAATTTTGAGAACATTACCGCCTTGGAGAGAAGGAACTTTGATTGGAATCAATCGGTAGAAACATAAGGGACCATTGGAATGGAACTTAACGTTTCGGATCACTTATTTGTTGTCAAAGGATACAGTGTACACCTAGAACATGAAATATTCCACAGCAGGTAACTGACATCTTGTTGGTGCCCAACACTTGTATTATAATCCCTGATCATTGTGCACGTAACACTTGCTGTGCCTTACCCAAGTAGCTAACTCCGTCAGGAAGAGAAGAACGTCCTGTGAGACACAGCAGTAAGTGTCCAGTTAAAAATACAAAGAAGTATTGTTACAGTAGTAGGTAATTTTCAGTCCATATGCGGCCACAAACCAGAATAATGGAGAATTAATCCACATAAAATGATAGTTGGAGCATGTAGGAGCTGGAAATAATCATCACGCGAGGCAGTGAGATTTCGAATGCAACCGTCAGTATAACCAGATGTATTGGTGCCAAACAAATAGTTATTGGAATTTTTAATTTGTATATAGGTTATATTTCACATCGGTCATCCGGGATGCGTCGCAAAAAAGGTAATGAGTAATTCACGAGGCAGTTGTAGGATATGGGACCAGCAATGTTAGCAGATCATTTAACACTGTAAGTGGTCAAATATCTAAATCCTTTATTCTCATTCAAAAAGTCATATAGGAGCTAAAATGGTGAGAGCGAAAAAAGAAGACAAACGACAGCAGCACAGAAGAAATCAAGTGAAGTCGCCAAGGAGTGATTTATGTATATATATATGTAGATTAAGTTATTGGCCTGGAGGAGTGCAAGGCAAGATTAGTTAGCTTGTAGTGGAAAATTAGGTGTAGCTTGAGACGTCTTTTACAGAGTGGTTCTAATCTCAGTCTGTTGTAACGCTCAGCGTTGTCGAGACTACATTCTAAACCAAATTTTCTTGAGGTAAATTGCCGTTGCACCCGTTGAGCCCTACAGAAATTCATGAGGCACCTAACAGGTCAACTTGTTCTATGGCTTCTAATTTTCCAGATCTTTGAATTCACTCCTCACTTAAATATCGCTTATCTACCTCACAATAATCTTTTTATTTACGCACTGTTATACTCTATCTGATCTTAAATACCTAGGCCTTTATTGAAGCTGAAACTTGCTCTTTGTTCATATTTGTTACTTGCTTTAAGTCTGGTTGCTTTGATTAAAAACACAACAACACCAATGTTTGAACAAAGCTTTATTTTCATCGGAAACGTGATAGTTTCCATGCTTAGACCAATATGGTTAGCATTAAACATTGCAAATGTATACTATCATTTCAAGTACTATACAGCTTCTTCTCCTTGTATTTATCTTGTAAATATACTTTCAATAATGTATTATTCATAATTGCATTTTAAACCATTTTGCAGCTGCGCAGAATTTTCTTCTCTTCCTGAAATGGCGTTCAATCACGTGGCAGCATAGCACTCACCCAGGTATACGGTGTTCACTAGTTGACCATAACTGTCAGCAGAAAACAGAACGAAGTTTGGGTTGTCGCTCAACTTTGATGATGACCTTAGTGAAGGGTTCACAATTTAACATTTATAAGAACCTGTTCTAATTGCTTGTACAATAATTGAACAATTCAAGCTTTTGAAAAAGTATTAATTTATGACACTTCAGGATTGTAATTTATAAAATCACTGATCGTGCCTGTAAAAATGGCATGCATTTCTTGTAAACTTACCCGTTTATACGAAATATAAATTATTATTATTCCATCACAGTCCACTAAGAATAAACGGGCAGTATTCTAAAATAGGTCGGACACTTACTTCGTATAATAAAACCCTAGTTTCACAACAAAAGGAATTTTGACTTATGCATCCTAGGGGCCTTCGTGTTTTACGTCTGGCATAATCAGTTTGTGCAGAGAACGTTAAATTACTGGAGTATCTGATACCGAGGTCTACGACTGAGTTGAGCTTGGCTTGTTTTCTCTCATTTACTTCAAGAGTTAGGTCAAGGTTACTGTTGCCGATACAAACCCAGCCTCATTCGTCAATGTTAAACTTTAGACAGGATTCAGCACACCATGTTGCGAGACCACTTAGTTAAAGACGTATTTTACTCACAAAATCGTTTAATTCATGGCTGCAGCAGGAGCAAACGACATTGAGGTCGTCAGCATATAGCAATGGTTTACCTGAGGTGAAGCAGTTGTGAATGGTGTTAATGTAGACTGCAAATAGAGGTGGTGCTAGGACAGTACCCTGCACAACCCCACTTATGATCTGCCTTGTATGTGAAAATACAGATCCGACTTTGGTTATTTGTACCCTGTTGCTTACAAATAACTTTGACCAGTTCAGAGATGGATTGCGAATTCCACATGAGTACAGCTTCTCAAAGAGAATACTGTGAGATACCATGTCAAATTCCCTAGATATTTCGAAGTAGAAAACAATGACTAGCTTGGATGCTTCACGACCACTAGTCATGCAGTTGGAAAAGTCAAAGTGGCAAGTAACGCAAGACCTATTTTTGAGAAATTCGTGCTGAGACTTTGTAACAAGTTCTTCCTTAAGTAGATGGCCTGACAATTGATCTTTAACAACTTTCTCCATTATTGGCGAGATAACTGAGGTTATATTTATAGGTCTGTAATTGCTAGCGTTTGCCTTATTACCAGATTTGTAGTGTGGTATTATAAAGCTGGATTTACACTCATTAGGGTAAGCGCCAGTGCCCACAGATATTGAGAAGAATTTAAGTATCAATAGGGGAATGTCACACACACTGTTTTTGAAAATTACTGAAGCAAGGCCACTCGCTGCCGTGCTAGTAGAAGGTCAAAGGCTATTGACTACTCAGCCTATTAGTTGACTGGTGAACACTATGCTCCCAAGGGAGGAGCTGGCAAGGGATGCGTTTTCACCAGGAGTGTGTGTTTCTAAACCACTCACTAAAACGTTCACAGATAATAGCAGGCTCATTGTAAATTACTTTGTCGTGAAGTTATTAAATAATGTTTTTTAATGAGTGCACCAGTTTTTTAAGTGTTGTGAGGTTATTAACTTTGGAAGTACTTTTAAGTGCTCTTAACTCTCAATCGAAGTTTTTGTGAGAGCGTAGGCGCTTAATAGATTCAAGTGACTGGTGGATTGAGTGCAGTAGTAATATATCCTTAAAGGAGCAGTACTGTTTCATCAACTTACTTAACCTGTTGCTGGGTGCCTACTTAATTTCACTACCTTCTTAGGAGCAACAGTATCTAGAAAAAGGGTAACATTACTGTAAAATATGGACACTACAGCCTCCATGAAGTCACTGGCAAAATAGTCATCCCACTGACAGAGTCGAATGAGTTCTTGGACTAATCCCCCGTCTGTATGTTTGTAATTACGGACTATGATGCTCCCTGAATCTTGTTTGTTTCCTGTGTTTTTGATGGTGAGAAGGGCAGAGAGCAGAGTGCAATTTTATGGTCAATACTGGAAAATCTGTTACCAACATAGGTGGAGAGTAGGATTGTGTCATGACAAATCACAAGGTTCAACAAGTTGTTATCACGAGTAGGTGCCTGGATGTGTTGTTGCCATCCGTAGCAACCGATAGTGGCAAGTAATTCGTCGAAGTATTGGGAGCCGGAACTACTTAACCAGTTCACTTCAGGAAGATTGAAGTCCCTTGCAATTATTTTGTAATTAGTACTAAATTAGTTGTCGTGTGCGAACGACTTAGCTAAAGACTCATCAGTTTCTACGGCTGAACATGTTTCGCGATTTACACAGCCTACGAGGAGTTTGTACTTATTTCCACGTAAGATGATCCAGAGTGAATCAGCTACCTCATTCATTGGTTCATCTTCCGCCTTACTGAATGCGAATAAGTTACGTATATATATGAGATATCCTCCACCACGTTTGCAGTCTCTATTTGTACGATGTACAGTGTAACCATCTATACCCAAATGCACATCAAATATAGAGGATGAGCACCATGATTCAGTTATCAGAGCTACGGTTGGTTTGACGATCAATAATTATAATGTCCCTGGTTCATATATCTTATTGATTAGGGAACTTGCATTAATTAGTAATATCGTTAATAAGTCACGGGATACTACAAACTTGCTTTGACCAGGTTGACTGACCTTACCAAACTTCTGCAAATAAGTGAACAAAGTGCAATTCTGAATCTGTTACTGTTGGAAGAAAGTAATATAAAAGCCAAGCACTTTATATTTGCCTACCTTACCTGACAAAAGATTGATTCTCCTTTCTCATTCTGTGGCCTTCATTGTTACATACTTCGTTCCTCTTATCAAGTACAGCACCAAGCAAGCAACGAATTAATGTTTTGGCATCATTCTAAACTTTGAGAGATGTCTCACACATCTGAAATATAGTAACTACGGAAACCGGAGTAACGCTTGTTTCTATCTGTTCAGAGTATTTCCTTTGACGCAGTTTCTTATCAACAGTTTTCAGTATTCTCAATGATTTTATAGGAAGCTTGATTTCGTGTTCACTTTCATCAACTGTCCCTACGTGGACAGTAGCATGCAGTAACTGCATATGCTGAAGCATTTCAACCTGAACATCGCAAGGTCCCTCCAGAAAGGCTGTTTAATGGTTAAGAAAGAGTCACAGGTGCAGCTAACGTATTCTTCGTAACCAAAGATAATTCCTGAAGGAGTTCACCTTAGTGATCTGAAAATGAACGATCATTAGGAGTGGCATGATTTACGTTGCAGGTGTACTAGTGATAGAATTTAGCTGCAAGCTGCTTCTCGGCGGGAAGTTAATACTAAGTGTAAGTACCATCACACTTCAGAAGGACTATGCAGAGTATTCTTCTTGTCTGAATGCACACTGACATGGAAATAAGCGGATGCCAGTCGTGGTCTTCCGAAATTCCATGTGACAGTGTAAATTACACTGCCATCACATCTTTGGCTTAGCGACTTCAACTACGTACTCCATCAAAATTGACACAATCACTAAAAAATTCAGCCGCTTATCTCACTGACCATATGATTTCTTCGATGTATCATGAACGACTTCATTCCTTCCAGATGAAGATGAAAAAGGTTACTCACCTCATAAATTCCTCAGAATAGACATCTAATTTATGCTTATGCACCTGTAACATATAAAACCCTGAATCTCATAGAATAACTGCTATGACATTAACCATTACCTGCAGTAAATTTACAACCTGAAAACCTCCAGCAAATATCAAACATTTAAGGCTCCGAAACAAAAATAATGATCATTTCTATGTGAAATTTCTTCAAGTGCATACCTTCCTTCGCGAGAATACGTCTCGGACATCAAGACACTTCTAAGCATGAATACAAACATAATACAGGATAAGTCTTTTTAGGTCGAAGCCTCAAATTAATTTAATATAACCCAAATTCAGTAGAGTAGTAGCTTATAATTCCTCTGTAGGTATGAAAACGATAACCCATACTATTAGCGAAAATACAAGCCGACAGAATATATTCTCATGACAAGAAAGGCAACTGTGGAAACCAAATCATTTCGCAGCTAACAAAATGTCTTTACTAACAACCAGTTTACAAAGATATATGAAGCGAAAACAACCTAAAGAACATGAAATTCAAAATGGTGCATAAAACTATAAGATTAGTGTTGAAAGCAAACATTATGTAAAGGTAGAAGCCTAATTCAAACAGAGACAAAAGTTGCATATTATAATAATGCAGACCAAGGTAGGGGATCAGAGAAGTTCGTCAAGTAAATTGAACCTTCAAGGATCAAATTTTTAATCTGTGCAGATTGGACTATTGGATTTTAAGGGAGAAGGCTTCGGCGAATTCGCTGTGGCGTGATTGTGAATGCGTATACTTTTTTCAAATCATCGTCGATGAATGCACCTTTGAGCAGTGGTGACAGTTAAGTTCTGTGGTGGTGGTTGGAGTGGTGTTAAGAACAGCCCGGTCATCAGACTAAGAGATCCAGGCTGAGGAGTCAGCAGGCGGTGTGGTTGGAATTCAGATCCAACAGTTTAGGTGCCCACAAAACAATCGTGAGGGTTATTTCTAGCTGAAGCTGATTCAGAACGAGTTCGAAGTCGTCCCAGCAACGTAGCTAGTAAGTTCCCTATTAGCTAGTTGTTGCATAGAGTTTTACAAATATCTAGGATTACTCAAACAAAGGTATTCTGTGAATAAGTGTGTATGGGCTTCCTCGTGGCAATCCAAGAAGCGTCAGAGAGTGGGTACTTGTGTGCGCTCCTATGTCTTCTCGATAAAGATAGTCATACGGTGACACAAAGACTATATCCAAACGACCCATCTCCTTTAACATCATACATAATATCGATGGTTGCACACCTGAACTGGGCTTTCTATTTTCTTATTTTTTTATTTTTGATAACAGCTTGATGCCACACCGTATTTTCACTACAAGTATGGAATTTTCAGCACGGATATCGGTAGCCCAAATTTTGCAGGCCGACCATAGATATCAGGTGTGCGTTGGCAGGGGATCGAACCCCGGACCATATGCATGGTCGGCGAGAGTCCTAACCACTGTGCCACCGACGAACACCTGGCTGTTTTGGAGCTGCGGCGGGGAACAGTACTGAGTTTCGCCTTGCGCTTCGACTAATGGAAGCGCCGACACCTAAGATGCTGATACAACTTGTAAGACATAATTTGGACTTCTCACAAAACATTAGATTTTTCCACTGATATTACTAACCGGGGCTACTGCACACCTTTGTATCGGTCTCTTACATTAGAATCCTAAAAAAATCCTAAATCTTCCTATGGCAGTTCGAGGATATAGCCAAGAAAACAGTCAGTTTATACAAGCTTATCTCAAACACATTGTATACATTGAATGTTAAGAGCTAAAAGTAGTGGTCAGTTAATTAATTGCGGTACTTCACTGTTCACTTCATGTACGTATTGTAGTGGTTCAAGTTTGAAAGAAAGCGTCAGTTCAAAAACCGGTGGACGCTGAACTGTTATAGCCTAGCTCTTTGTACCTACATGTATATAATTTTTGGACTTCTGTTGGTGTAATTCAGTGTCAATTATAAAGTGCTTTTGTTCAAGTCGTGTTCTGCTTCTCCGCTCCACTCTGCGTGCTTGACCTGTGTAATTGTTTGTGTTCTATTACAGTATAATTGTGCCTATTCTTAGCTATTGTTGTGTATTTGTAGAGACGTTTCTTTTCTAGGTGATCATTATAAATGCTACTACACTCTCTTCTGATTATTTAGAAAGTGTAGGAGTGGTATAATTATATATAACAATAAATCAGTATTTGAATACCTTACTCATTGGCGATCTACGTGTACTTATTCTGCATTTTGACTACTTCTCCTGTGATTGGGAAGTCGCTGTGTTTTCTGTTACGGGAATGTCAGGAAATGTCTGATCTAATGCGTCTGTAACGCTGACATAATTACCGTGTATAATGTTCAAGTCACAAGTTTGTTACCGCTTATTAAATATTTGGGAGTTAAAATACTGTTAATTGGTCAGCAAACATTTAAATGAAGTTAGTGGGATGTAGCATTTTGACAGTATCGGATTTAGTTTACAAAATTTACTAGTGGATCAAGTAACTAATATGTTTTCGATATTGTTATTTAGCAGACTCGCCTCAGCAAAAATTATTCGAAGTAAAATATTGTCTGATCAAGATAAATAGGAGTACAACATTGCATCTGTAGGTTGATTTAGTTTGTTACAGTCATTCTTTTGTTAGAGGATGGTAGACTAGGTGTAGCCTGTTGGTCTTTGCGATACATATTTCGAATATCCAACTTTTCTTTGAAATTATTCACTGAGAAAACTAATAGCACTCGATCTGAAGAAGAGTTTTAGTTACTGTTAGTCTTATGTGGGGTTTTGAATTCCGTCTTATCTTGTTTGAACGCGGTTTAATACTCCTTGCAATTGTCTGAACTAACAAACATAAACTTACTGGAATTGGAGTGCACTACACAAATTTTTAAATAGAAAAATTAGTCAGTGTAGACATTTGTCATATAACAGTTCACTGACTGCTATAGGCTAATATTTGAAGTTAAACAGGTGTGATTTTGATCTCATTGAGGAACACTGCACATCTCGAGCCGTTCGCTTGGTGTAAGAACAAGAGTTAATATCGGCACTACTTTTTACTGAGCAGTATGTCGTATCGATTAATGACTGTCTACCTCAATGAATTAGTGATGTCCCGAGCAGCTTACATATCACGCTCATTTCAATGAATTTGCTTTGGCATTTGTTCCCGGCTAGACACGGAAGATATTTAAAATCTAGAATATCACGCCTATAGAGAAGTGCTAAGAAAGGAGACTTGTGTCCTATCAGTCCATTTTTTCTGTAGGATTCCATCAGATTTTGAGTAGCATATACTAATAGATAATAAATTCCTGATGTAGATTAAAATACCTTTTTTATTGCTTGTTTCTTAATTAGCTGCATAAGAATCTGCTATAAGTTGTTATTCAACATTTTAGATATTCAGTGAAGATTTCAAAACCCAGTAATGTTTCTTAATTCTGGAATTTCTTTTGCTGGTAACCAACTTTCGGATTTGTGATTTCAAGAGTAATTTGTTGAGCAATTATGAACTAAACTAGTTCGGCGGTGCATCTTCATTGGATTTGTCTGTACATGTAGGAATTAACAGTCTTTTCCTAAATTGTATTTATTCATACTTTTATTGCAGTATTACATTCTTGTATGTTAACTCGTGGTTTACATACACAGACTCCTTACTTATTCTGAATGACAGGCGGCCTAATCAGTTATCAGTCAAACTGTTATGTATCGTAATTTATTTTTTAGTTTCTGTGGCTGCCACACAATAGTCTTTTATGCATATTTTTCAGTATAATGTTTGCTTAGACTGAATTGCAAGCCTTATTTGTAGTTGTATTGGCGATGATAATATGAATTTCGTTAGGAGTTAAACTCCAAGGTACATTTCATACGGTTACTGCTGTTGTTCGTCGTTTAGTGACTTTATACTGAAGCAAACGTACCACTTCACAAATACTAATTTACCTGATGGGCCTTCTGCCAATTTAACTCCAATACTCAGTTTCAAGTTACAGTACCAATGTTGTGTTGGATTATGAGCTTGACTGGCAGACTTCAGTCAGTGCTGTAACTCCCCACTTATTGTTGTTGAACGTAACTCCATGCTCAACTGGTATCATAACGGTTGCATTCTGTAGTTTTATGTAGTAGTCTGAGTTGCAGTTTATTTGTTAGGGCTTATCGTACTCTATTTTTATAAGTGCAATGGAGATCCGTAGGCATAAGTTACATTTCCAAAGTAAGATTGAAATGAACCACTATACCACGAAATCCATAGGGGAAACAAAAGTCCATAAGAATGTTTCGCATTATTTTATTGATCTTATAACTAATATTTGACTTGTGTTCTTGTCAGCAGGGCACAAGCATGCGGCGTGTGACTTGAGTGGAATGAGATCGGACAAAATTAGTCTCCATTTTATTTATTCATAAAACTCCCCTACGCTGCACACCAAATGGTACCGAACGTAGTTGATGTTGCGGTCAAATTAATCATGATCAAACTCCTAAAAGATCTTGTGCAATCAAAGTAGTCAGTGTTGTAGAACGTACGTAAGAGGCAAATGCTGAGCACGACCAACAATTTGTTCAGCGCTTTTAGGTAAACTCACGAATACAAGTTTAGATGACCGATAACAGTGGCTTATCTCTTGTTTACAATCGAAGCAGTATTTGTTCAGAGAACGTAAGTTGGAGTTTAGTCAAATAAAGGGTATTATTCTATGAGTGTCACAAGCCACCTATTATTTTACTGAACAGTACTTTAAACTATATATTAAAGAAGACTGGCTGCAGGTCTAACTAAATCTAGTTTGATAGTTATTGTTAAAAAACATCCAGGATCACTGTCTCCAATAAAAACATTTTTAACATCACTTAATTCGTCTCTCGTTGTGTGGGTGCCTCTGTCTATTTCGAACAAGTGAGTTTTTTAAATATTTAGTTTATATACCGCCACTCGCGTCTTTTTCCTGTGAACAGCTTTTATCTTAGGACCAAGTGATTCTGTAAGTTATTAAGTACAGTCATTTAGTTTTGTTACAGATGCTTACACACTATGACGACAAATATTTTTATATTTTTTAAATATTTTATCCTTTAAATTTCAGTCATTATGAACAAATCGTGCCTAAGTCTTAGCGAATTTCAAACTGATCAGTATATTGACATCAAAGAAAGACTTGTAGCCTTGCAGAGACATCTGTCAGACCCGTATTCAGACTGTTACGTAGAACGCTTACTTGATGTCGTTGTGGCGTGCGTTGCAGAATGTACGAAAACAGTACAGACTGAGACAAATTCATATATGGAATCATTTTTACAAAGGTATCTTTATTTTTATATTGTTTAGTATGTTTCTAATATATCATTTATTGATTATGTTCAACTCTCTTAATTGTTTTTATAGTTCCGGAAGATATGGAATTAGCGAATAAAATTTAGTTATCACAACTGATTTCCCCGTTAGGCGTTTAAAATGATTGATGTTGGTCGTATTGTGTAGATACATTCATATAACAAATTATGAATACGACTAATGTACTCTTAGCTACTACTCATTGTAGTAAAACGAAGTACACGTTTAACTTATAAGTATTTACTGAATGTGAAAAAGTTAATTAGTACTGATCAGACTTGACTGACTGACTGGTTTCAACGTAGAACTTTGCACCGATGTGCAGCAGTTCGAGTCGCCATGCTCCATGTATCACACAAAGGAAGAGAAGAAAGTAAAAAGAAATACAAAATATAGACAGTAAAGAGAGATATGAGGCAGAAAGAATAGTAATATCGAAGAACCATATAGTTTTATTGGGTATTATAAGTCACAAAGAATGGATGCATCTGCGCCATTGAGAACGATTTTAAGCCATATCAACGATTGTCTCCAGCCATTGGTGTTTACCGTCCCGAGGATCTTAACCAGGAAGTCTGCACCTTCCTACGTGGCCTAAACTGACTGTTGTGGATTTCATTGACCGACACCATGTTTTGGTTTGACCACCACTGGCTCTTTTCCAACCTGACCCTATGTCAGCTAACATTGCCCGTCGAGGAAGGCGATGACTATGCATGCCTAGCTAATCGGACTTACTAGAAGGTTGCTTTATTTAGTCGACTTTACTTCGTGATCTTTAGTCAGTTACACATCGATATCTATATCGCCAAGAATAAGAAGAGTAATAGCACTAAAAGCATTTTACAGCAGTCCTTGTATTTGTGTCATTCGTGTTTGTATCCCAAATTTTCAAATCTCAAAGTGATTAGTGATTCAATGCATAAAACACCTTTTGCGAGATGATATGAAACAATATGTGATGTAACACCTGGACTTGCTAAACTTTCTTTCTTACATCTTTTCCCGCTGAAATTACGTCGCTTAGATTTTTTTAATGCCTAGTGTGTATACTATGTGGTTATTTATGCAATAATTTACATGCATTCCCGTATTTTATGATCTAAACTATTACATAGTGGTGAAAAAAACGTGTTTTTCCTGAAAACGGTTTTACTTTATGGCATCTCGTTCATTCTTCATTGTCATTCATTTTTCATTGTGATTCACCGAATTACCTCCATTTCTTGATAAAAATTAAAGGTAGTTGTTTGATAGTCAAGTTCTGAATGGGCTTATATAAGTGTAGATTAATCACAATAATAACGGTCACTTGTAGTAGAAAAGACTGTGCTGCTTTGACAGAATTTAACGCATTTAGGAGGACTTATCCTGACTCAAGGCTTTTATAAGAAGAAAAATACTGAAAAATACGCACGTCCCTTGATAGTTCCCTCCAGTATGGAAACTGAATTGAATTTTACTGATTGCTAAGGATCTGTTCAGCTGTATATTGAGTAACTGCATAGTTTTTATATTATATTTTGAAGGTTTCTGGATGTGGCGAGGAGTTTACAACTGTATCGTCGTAAATCTGAAGATTTTTCATTTATCAGTTCATTGGGTCATGGTGCTTTTGGACGTGTTCAGCTTGTCCGTGAAATTACAACTGGTCGTGTTTGTGCAATGAAAATATTAAAGAAGTCACGTATGTTAGATCAGCATGCAGATTATTGGGCTGAAAGAGAAATTATGTCACATGGCGAAAGTCCATGGATTGTACAGCTATACTACGCTTATCAAGTAAGTTAATGTAAAACTAATTTAATGACGCACCACCGTTTATACTTATGTATGAAATGACTGCCACATTTAGTTTAAATTCACTGGCGAATTTGAGGTTTTTCACTAAACTGTCACCTCAACTTGACATTTGACTGAAATTTTTGTAGATGCATGAGGGCTCGAATCTTTGGTTTATTGTATCTCTGTGTAACTTGTTGACAAACACCTTAATACAGCTACGTATTTGTCGTAGTCGTTATAGTGTGCTAGTACTATTTTATATCAAACTGTGAATATGTTCAAGTGAATCTCTGTCTGTGACACTGACTAAAAAGAGGAATACGAACACCTACAAATATATATATTTGTCACAAGATTAATGAACCTAACCAATCAAACATGGTCTAGGAATATACATTATTTATGTCACTCAGTAGAATACTGTTAACATGACTATGTGTTAATTTTGAGTTGCTCAGTTATAAAAGAACCGATTTTCTCCCATAAATCCGGTTATAACAGTTTGATGTAAAATATCTGTATTTCTTAACATCAATACAGTCGAAATTTCATAAAAACGGTTGTGACCTGATAGTGGGCATAAAATCGATATGGGTGTAGTATGTTGTTATCCGTGATATATTTTCCATGTATTAGGCTGTGAGCTACACTTATTTTTTGAAGCGGGATTCAAACTGAGTGAATAGAAATCACTACATTGAATAAGAGTTGATATGATATGTTCCTGTTTGATCAAATTAAGAACACATATGTCACCAAAGAGATTTCTTTCGTGACCTTTTTACGTCAAAACTGTACAGCTATTTACGGTATGATTAACAACAAAGGTCAGATGTTATTATCACTCACTGACACGATAAGTCAAAGTGTATGACAAACAACAATGTGTAGTTAAAAAAAAAGATGAATTATCTTACGTAAGCTAGAGAGAGTTGACAACTAATTAGTCAAGTGATGAATGGTCATTTCGAAATACTAGACAGAAAACAAGGGAACAAAGGACGGAAAATGTGTCAAAAAATAGAAATTTAATTCAAGGACTACACAGAAATAACTGGATAATAATTCAAGGAGATGCCATAGACACTAAGGACATGGAAGCTAAAGAGTCTGGATAGAACATTTCTGTACACCTAGTTCCGGGTTTTCTTTACAGATTCTTAGGAACTTTGGCATTATGAAGGTGTAAGCGCGAAGCCATTTTGCATGACCTGATAGTTTTTAATGTGTAACTGTGTGTGAAGTCTCTGTCGACAATAACCTCTGGTATTTGTTGTCAATTAACACTGTATACAAACCCTTGAATAACTGTACAGCTTTGAAGTGACTGTCAGGTATCATGTGAATGAATGTTACTCATGGCCATCTCTGATAGTTTTACTATTAATTAATCAATAGCTTAGTACTTGAAATATGTTACTGTACGCGAATTAATCATTACACAATAACTATTGCATGGATGAAGTTTGAAGTATAACATTATACTATATAATGAAGTGCAATTGTTTTTTTATATATTTAGGATTTGAAACACTTATATATGGTTATGGAGTATGTACCTGGTGGTAATCTTGTTAGTTGGATGGATGAGGTGGAATTTATGTCAGAGGCTGCTTGTCGTTTTTATGCAGCAGAAACAATTCTTGCTTTAATTGATTTACATGCAATGGGATTTATTCACCGTGATTTAAAACCAGATAATTTATTATTAGATTCAGGTGGTCATTTAAAATTAGCTGATTTTGGTACTGCTGTCCGCGTGAATCCAGAGACATCACTAGTTCATTGTGACGCAGCTGTTGGAACACCAGATTATCTTAGTCCAGAAGTTCTCTTATCACAGGTAATTTTGTTCTTATTACTTGTCGTTTGTTATTTGTTCACAGTTGAATTCTTAATAAAACTTTAGAGATTGAGTAGCACTTTTTTATTTTTTTTTCCTCTTATTACTGGTTGGTCTCAATTTCTGCATATTAAAATAGCACAATAATGCATGTTATTTATTATGTTTAAAAGACTGATTCATGTTGTTGGTATTATTTTCCTTCTATGACGTTTTCTGACTGAATTTGTGATTAAGGATTGATTTTTGTATTACTGTTGACACGTCTCCCGGCTTTTTTTGTATATGACTGATTCAGTTAGCTTACAGTCTGTTAGGAATCTCAAACTGTTTCTGTCTGTCTGGATTCAACATAGAGCTTGACACCGAATTGCAGCAGTTCGAGTTGCCACTTTCCAAATAGCACACAAAGGTAGACAAGAAAATGAGTGAAGAGAATCAATAGAGTTTTGACAAGTATAAGAGTGAAACAAAATGACTAATGGTAGAAAGGAATATGAAAGATTACAGAGACAGAATAGATCTGCGCCATTGACAACGATTTCGGGCCATGTCACCTATTGTCTCCAGCCATTGATTCTTAGAGTCCCGAGGGCCCCAACCCGGAAGTCTGCATCTCCCTACCTGACTCAGTTTAACTGTCAAGGATTTCATGGATTGATGCCATGTTTTTGTTTGGCCACCACTTCAAACTGTTTCTTCCTAGTAAGTATTTCAGATATCATGCTAAAATCAGGCGAACTATCCGAGTTTCTTATTTTTTTTCTGATAATGCACAATAGTGTGGCTTCATGTACCATGTCTGACGCTTGGTAATACTGACAAATTATCCGGTTCCTCATGAAAAGGTGTATGTACTGATTGACAATGCTTCCTGGCTCTAAGTAATTCTCTAACGGATATCGGTTCTTGATGAAATACACACTAGAGATTCGTGATTGGGCTAGAATAAATAGTCTTCAAATTTGCAACTAACAACGATTTAGGTTTTCTCTCAATTTCCTTTATCATTATTATTATTATCCCTGTATAAATGAATATCTATCTATCAGATACCAGTGCGATAGACAGGCTTCTTAAAATTGCTAGATTTTTAATTTTTTTCTCTCGTTGAATTTAAATTTTCGTTATTATTTTTACTCCACAAAATGCGGAATCACAAAACCTCTCTTACTCATTTAGACAGTATTTGTAAGCAACTGATTAATTACTTATAAATATCCCCACACCCCAACCCAGGAAAGAAAATAAGAAAGAAATTGTTCCCTGGGAGAGACATTGCATTTTCTTGTACAAGGAGAAAACATATTTAAAGATTACATAAATGAAATAACTGTATTGAAAAATAAGCAGAAATAGTAGCAGGTGGTTTTTGTTTTGTAGTTGATATGTTTACAACTGTCAAAAATATATCGCCGTTAAATTTCATTTTAAATTCCTTCCTTAAAAAGAAGATTAAATGTGTGTAAGTTAAGCTAGAATACTTTACTTTTTAATGACATCTGTTTTAAAATGACGTTAAGTTTCGTCTGTTTTATCTCAGTAGATACAATATAAATTGAAGTATAGTGCATTATGTTTAATTTTTGTCTAATTAGATGTATACAGAGATTTTTAAGTGATCAAGTGTACACATGAATCCTTTGTAGAAAATTACACCATTCGACCACTTTCCAAGATTTAGAATCGGAGAGAGAGTCAGCACGAAAAATAACAACTAAAAATCATCGGATATTTGTCTTGTTTTTCTCTGCAAACTAGAAGGAAACAGCTGTCCAGTGCTCCTTGGTTTTCAACGGTCTCTAACTAGTGCTGGTTCATGACGAAATCTGCACTGAAATTACTCCAAATCGCTACAAAAACACCCATAATCTAAATATCACTGTTGGCCACCAGACGGATGTTAGGAAGTTGCAATGAGAAGTCACGACCAATATTGTCCGCCATGTTAAGGTGAAATGGATTCTCATCGAAGGCATTGATTGAGATTAGCTATGTATTATGAATTGGCAGAGTTAGAATACGCGGGTCCTTGATTTCTGGTCTAAGTGGCTGAATAGTCAACAAGCTTGGTTTGGAAACCTGAAGGTCCGGGGTTCACTCCCCGGTGGGGTCGTGGGGGGGGCACTACCAGAGAGTTCCAAACTAAAACGAAACCGCTGTCCAGTGTTCCTTGTCTTATGATGATCGCTAGTTAGTATTGGCTCGTGACGAAATCTACGTTACATTTAGTCCGAATGGCTACGAACAACTCATAATCTAAATTCTAGTAGGTATCTGGGAGTGTCAAGTGTATTGACAAAGGCTGTTACTCTTTTGCTACTGGTTTTTAAGTTCATCCAAACAGTTTTCAATTTCTATGAATTAACCATCTATTGTAACTGGTATCAAAGGTCGTTACATTTGACATTTACACTCATACAGGTCGTGGTTTTGCAATAAAAAGTCAGGGAAGTCCGTCTATCAAACAAATAATTATCTGTATTAAAGCTTTTTGGGTTTGTTGGGATTTAGGTCCATTCTAATGTAGATTTCGCCACGAACCGACATCTCAGTTAGGTATTCATTGGAAGCCATAGTGCACTGGAAGTATGTTTCGTTTTACTTTGGGGTCCTTTTGTCAGTGAGCGCCAACAACCTCATCAGGGATTGAACCAAGGATCTTGAAGCTGAAATACTTCAGAAAGGGAGTAGATATACGTCAGACATGCTCTTAAGTCCATCATAAGACTATAGTTCACAATTTACTCCACTGACTTACTGACGTAACCCAAGACTGTACACTCTATTCTCACATTACTCCAACAACATGAGACAGACTATGAAGACAACGGTGATAAAAACTTGTTGTCTGGGCAAATTTTTTTCATATTTTTGATGCCTGTTTTAAATGAGTATAAAACGGGAAAATGCAAACTGTTATTTGTTACACTTGACTCTGAATTTTGATACTTTAATCACAATTTTTATTCAGTGTATAAACATTTTTTCATTACGTAGAGCTTTGAAATGTTTAATACAGCATAAAGCCTACCAGTATTTCTCATACAAAAGTTGACAGCGTTTAACGGCCAATCATTCAGTTTAGATTTCAATAATTTTACTTAATCAAATTTGTTTTCAATGCACGACATATATCTGTCTTGATGGTTTTATATAAACTAAGTCTAGTGAAAATATGGTAACACAAGCAAAATATACGATAAAGGGTCAAAAGAAGTAAGATTGACAGATATATACAACCTATAAACATCTGGAGTTAATGGATTAAGACTGAGTTTCCATAGAGCATATTCATAAATCAACAGGGGAATAATATTGAGGAAAACAAAGAAATTAAAAAAATTTTTTTATTATAGCTTGATTCCACACCGTATTTTTGGTACAGGTATGGAATTTTCACCATGTGATATCGGTTGCCCAAATTATGCAGACCGACCATTGATATCAGGTATGCGTTGGCAGGGGATCGAACCCTGGACCATGTGCGTGGCCGGCGAGAGTCCTAACCACTGTGCCACCGATACACAGTAATCGGCAAAGTAACTATCATACAATTGTTATTAATCATAACAATGCTATCGAAACTTCAAGCCTCTAGCTTGAAGCTCTATGTTCCATTAGGAACGTAAAGGAATAAAAAAAATAACAATGTACAAAAGCAGTTTAGTTGGTTAGGGTCATATTGATTTCACGGTAATCGGAGGTTGTAAAAGTTTATAAGACGAAAGGAATTAAGGTAAAGTACTTCAAATCATATAATATCTCATCTGTGATTTGGATGAGCTTTAGATGCTTCTATGTCACTGTAGTGCAGATATGGCATTCTAATTTCTAATTGTAATCTTATTAATTTGACCCTTAACCGGAAATTATTCTGGAACCTTCCCATCCATTTGTTATAAATACACGAATGTACAGCCTAGTTGATAACTAGTGATTACTTTGCTCAGTTGTTTCTATCGCACTCTGTACAACCAACTGATAAACTCACTAGGAAGTAGTCGATCTGTTTATGACGACTTGATGTTATTGCTGACTCATTTGCTTTGTTTTCTCCAAAATCAATTTAATGGTATTACATATTTAACTGATATGATTTATTCTAGCTATATTATCTTGATTGATGTTGTACCGCATATATGATCAACTTGTTTTGACATAAATATCTTTTATAATTTCGTTGCTTATTGGTTATTCTCTGTGCTACTGATATGAATACACTTAGTTAGTATGCAGTGCAACATTTTCAAGAGAAATATTCAGAGTATACGATCAATTAACGAAGATTATGGTTTACAAAGCACAGAAAATCGATTGTCAATATACACAGCAAATGAAATAAGCTACAGAAAAATATTACAAAATGGATCACAAATGTTCATTGCATATAATATTTTCACCTTGAGGTTGTGGTATTCGATCTGTAATAATTCTAAATCAATTTTCACACGTTTCTTCAGCTGTTCACATAGTTTTTCTCTCACCAAATTCGTAAAGGGAATTAATTGCTCTAAATTAATGAAATCAATTCTAAATTGTATTATAATTTATATTCCAAATCGTTGGTCTAGTCGACTTAAATGTCAAAAATGAATTGACCAACTCGTCTTTGTCCATGAAAACCGCATTTCTCAGAATCTTGCGGGTGATTCTTTTAAGACAATTACTGCTAACTATTATATGAAGTGATACTATGCTTTCACACCAGTAACAGAACTCTAAGATATTGTAAAATTAAAACACTAACTTAATATAATTTAGGACATTTATACCGATTTACATCTTTGGTTTATTGTAGGTTCAGTAATGATAATAGGGCGTGTGCATGAAATTTATTCTGTTTGAGCTTTCTTTGTATTCACTATCTAGTCACATTACTTCTCATGTATTGTCATCGTATGATTCTTATCACATTGTTTCCCGATCAACAGCTGCTCCATTGACGTTGTCACCGGGTTTGCGTATCTCAAGGACCCAAGGAGTTACACTGTCTGGAA